GAAAATTCATTCCCATTCAAAGGCACGCAGCAATTACAGTTTGCACTGACGGGCAACTCCCTGGCATCAGTACCATTTCCGTAGCCCAATTATTCTACAATCCCTTCATCTCTACGCCCAACCACTCTGTATATCCATTTAAGGAGTGACATTTGAAACTGTTAAATTTTTGCCCACATGTGGTGCTGGAATGCCTAAGGAATTAGATTTAAAGCAGATAACTAACATGAACCATCAGAAGTGAAGATGTTGAAGAATTAAGCAAGCACAGAAATCAAGAAAACAAATTTACATATGCATGAACTTAAGTGTAAGCATAGAAACAAGTCATAGGCAAGAAGAAAAATGAACACTGCATACTTTGATGAGCTTCAATTCCTGAAACTCAATAATCTACTACATCATGAAACTTGAAGGAAAATGAATTTTTCTCCTTGACTCAGTGCTCTACGTAACAGCATTCCTTTTCTATCAAGAAAAATATACTTCTATCGCTGCAAACAATGAATATGTATGACTATTTTACATAGTAAGCATGCAATAAATACTTCTTGAATTAATGAATAAATTTTCCCTGCCTAATGATGTCTGCTGTGAATTTTAAAGATCCTAAAAAGAAAGGGAGGTGGGAGGGCAGTGCTGTCTGTTTAATTTTATTTGATGAGTATCCAGTACACAACCATTAGTTAGAGCTTTAAAATGACAATTCTGACCTTAACAGAGTTTCTCCAATAAAATTATTTACTGTAATAATATAGATACTCTTTAAAAGCTAAATCATGGCAAACACTGGAAAGCTTTAAAAAAAATAAAGAATTTAATACAACCTACTAAGACTCTTTTATCCAGGAGCTATTACCAATTTTCTTTACTAATCAGAAATTTAAAAAATAAAGAAGTGAAATAAATCGAAGCTCTGCACCTATTACATCCTGTCAATAATCTGTGAAAACAGAGATTATGCAGTAGTGTTAGAGCCTTCAAAATTTTTTTCCTAAGGAAAGGAGAATGTGCACTGTCATTTATGGAGGGCCCCATTTAAGGGATGGAAAAATAGAGATAAAAAAGATTCGGACCTCTGGCATCAAGGAGGTTCATAGATAAATCAAATGCCTGACTGTGTCCAACATTTTTTCTTTGGTATTTCTCACGTCTTGACAGTTATCTAGTTTCAAATCCAACTGAAAACCCTCCTCATCTCCTCATCTTCCCACTGCCCCCAGCTTCCTAGACTGGTTACAACTCATTCTGATATCTTTACTCAGCACCTTTTTAGCATTAACATTTACAGTTTACACTGCCTTTATGAACTTTTGTCCTCATGGTGCACTGGAACTGCACCAGGAATACAGCTCATGCAAAAAATCCATGTCATCGCACATGGTAAGAACTGAATGGCCAGATGGGAGGTGCATGGGGTCGGGTGGGAATTAAACCCTTCAGTCTGCTCCTAGCAAGAGTAAATGCCCAGTATAATGGTCTGGCTGGCTAGACACTACACAACAGTGATCACATAACAAAGGACAATAGGAACAAAAATAGGCATTAAGCATCCTATATTAAATACACACACGAAATATCCTGGGATCTACAGGAATTCAATTTACAGATTAAATAGGTTGCAATAAAAATGTCAAGGGACTAAAGTAAAAAAAAATAATTAAGAACAGGGTGGGCAGAAGTGACAACATGCATTAATATTTACAAACCTACTCCACTGTGAAAGAATCTTCACAACCCAATAATAAGTGTTGGCAAGGATGTGGAATCATTGGTACACTGCTGGTTAGAGTGCTGGTGGTATAGTCACTTTGGAAAAGAGTTTGGCAAGTCCTCAGAGCGTTAAACGAGAGGAGTTACCATGTGACACAGCCATTCTACTTGTAGGTATACACCCAACGCAACTGAAAACGTATGTCCATGCAAAAACTTGTACACGAATGTTCACAGCAGCATTATTCATAATATCCCAAAAGTCCACTGACGAATGGATGTCATATTTTGGCCTGGCATTTTCACTTCTAGAAATTTATTTCATTGGTATAGTCACATGTGTAGACAGATGGGTACACTGATGCTACTGCAGCCATTTGCAACAGGAACTGGGAAAACTCCCAAATAACCATTTATTTATTGCCACTAAATAAATCATGATTTAGCCATACAATGTAATACAGTTCTCCATTAAAAGGAGAACTGTTCTTGCTGGTATGGCACAATTTCTAGAAATTTGAATATGCATAGAAAATTAAAGGGGGAAAAACTACCTGGGGAGGGAGAGTATATCGATAAAACTCATTTGATAATGTTCCCCATTCAAAAAGCATACATGCACTGCTTTCTAAATTAAGAAAAAAGGCTGGGCACAGTGGCTCACACTTGTAATCCTGGCACTCTGAAAGGCCAAGGCAGGTGGATTGCTTGAGCTCAGGAGTTTGTGAGCCTGAGCAAAAGCAAGACCCCGTCTCTACTAAAAATAGAAAAATTAGCTGGGCATTGTGGCACGTGCCTGTATTCCCAGCTACTCAGGAGTCTGAGGAAGGAGGATCATTTGAGCCTAAGTGTTGGAGACAGCAGTAAGCTATGATGACCCCACTGCACTCCACCTGGGGCAACAGAGTGAGACTCTGTCTCAAAACAAAAAATAAAATTTAAAAAACTAAAACTAAAAATACATTAAGAAAACAAAAGCAGAGGGAAAAACAAGTTGAAAAGGAAAGGACTAGTTGCCATTTGCTGAGGACAAGGCCTCAAGCATTCCCCATGAATCGGATAAAAAGGAATCCAAAGCCTGCATCCAAAGTTAATTTGTCTTGTATATCACACTGCAACAGACTGACTTAATATCATTTTTCCAGAAAGTCAAGACTATCACTGAGGGAAACCTGGAGAAATCCTAGGGAAAGCTAACTATGACCTTTACTCCCCTTGAGCTATCTTACATTAAGGCTAGAGCATTAGACCCTTCTATTATTGGGGATTATAATCTGACAGCATTTTTACTTTATACAAGGCACCAATTCTGTCAGTATGCTGCTTGGTGAAATTTTCATAAGTTAATTAATCGGTCACTGCCTCACGAAGGCTAGCCACATCACATTTTACCTCCATCAAGGAGGAAGATTTACTCCAATGACTTTAATCTCAAAAATCTTTTTGATTGGAAACAACCAAGACTGTTCATCAACAGGGAGATGTCTAAATGAGTTACGAAACATTTAAGTCTATACATACATTTAAATCCATTCTTTTTATGATTTTATTCTTTAAAACCATATATACTTTGGCCTAAGCAAATAAATCAAGTAAGCCAGTTTTGTATGCACCAATACAGAAGAATCATTCTGCTAAGAAATACTGCGAAAATAGAATGTGCACAACAAGTTGTATGCTACTGTGCGGGGGTATGGTAGAGAATATATACAAAGTATGCTTGCATACTCTACTTCTGGAAGGATTTACAAGCAACAGTAGTTGGAAACAGTACTGGAAACAGTAGTTGCCTCTACAGAAGGACACCAGCAGCTGTGAGACCAATTTTTCTCTACATACTCCTTTAGCATTAGAGTCCTGTACCATGTAAGAGCACTACTTGCCCTAAAATTAAATGCCACGGAACAAAGATCCTTTCAGGAGGTATAAATAACAAAAGGCAGAAGGAATGTGTAGGCCCCACCACTCCTATCATGGAGGGACCTGGATTCTCGGCCTCAGCAAGCAGGCTTCACCTCCTGCAGCACCACCACCTACCCTGGACTTGGGCAGGTACCAGCCGGGGACAGGTGCTTAAGGCAACCCCTTCCTCTTTCAGCCTCGGTTCCTAAGGGCCAGCCTCCCAACACTAAGAAACCTACTACTCTACTCTCAGCTTCCTTTAAAATGGACCTTAGTTTCCAGATTGTCCATCAACCTAGAATATAATTTCTCCTAGATTTCTGTTTGTGTAAATACTTCTAAATTAATGTTCCTGCCAGTCCAGCTTACCCGGTTTATCAAAAGCTAAGGGCGGGAAACAATCTTCTAAAAACGCCACACACAGAGGTTGACACATTCCCCACCCCAGAAAACAGACTGCGAATTCCCTAAAACCGTAGACAGACACGCTGTTTACAAAGCGTTTCCACAGACATCATCACATTTAGTGCCTTCACACGCTTCAGTGTCAATCCTGGCAAACCTAACAGCTGCCAAATTGGATTTATTAGTCTCCAAGAATGGTGGAATCAGCACTAATAAAATAGCTATCAAAAGGCTGCTTTTCTACCTGCTCTGATGACTGGGAGTTCTCAAGAGTGACAACTCTGGGCATTCAGCATGCCGACTGGCTCAAATGCCATCAACGTGACACCTTCCTTCCTGAAGCATCGGAGAGGAATGAACCTCTGGAGGCTTGAGGCGTGCTGGGGTATGCGCGCGCTGGGGAAGGGAGAGCGCAGTGAGGACCAAGAAAAGTGGCTCTGGCTTCGGAGCCCGGCCGGGAACACTGCACCACCAGGGTCTCCATCTCTACACAGCAGAGGGGATTTGGCCAACGCCAAAAAGGGGCAGCTCCCGCGCCAGGCGCGCTCGGGGAATCCTCTGGGGCTGATTGAGAGGTTCGGACTCACGTGAGGGCCAACCGAACTCGCAACCCCGAGAGGCGGTATCTACAAGAACTCAGAAGAAACCCGAGGGGAGGAACTGTATATTCCAGGCGCCCAGCTGACGCCCGCAATTTAGAAAGGTGACCCTCGGTCCATTTTCCTGGAGCAGAGTGCACAACGGATAAAGTTACAGCTGGCAGCAAACGCAGCTAGGAACTCGGGGTAGGGAGGTGCTCCCAGGGAGGCTGGATCCTAAAGGGGGTGTGGCGGCTGGGGCTTTTATGGGGGTGGGGGTGGAGGCGTGTCAGCCGGGCCCCCGGAGGCGCCTCTGCAGCCTGGGTGGGTGGGCTAGGACCCGGCGCGGGGTGCGGCTGTCCCGGGTGCCCCGCCACGCGCTCGCTCGCCGGCTCACCGGTGATGTCCAGGTACACGTCGTCCTGCTGGTCCAGGCAGTGCAGTTCCTGCGGCGTGGAGCTGCGGCTCTTCTTCACGCCCGCCGAGGTCGACGAGCAGCGCCGCGAGCAGGGGGGCGCGGCGGCCCAGCACGGCCGCCGCTCGCTCTTCCGCTTCATGGAGGCGGCCGCGGTCCGTCAGGGGGCCACGACCATGGCCCCGCGTGCCCGCTCGCCCGCCGAGGCCCCCGCCAGCCCCGTAGGCGGGCGCTCGGGGCAGCGGACGCAGAGCGGCGCTGCGGGGATGGCGGGCGCCGGCCGAGCCCGGCGGGAGGCGGCCGCGCAGGAGACAGAGGAGGGGCCCGGCCCACGGCGCCTGCCGCGCTCCCTCCTGCCGCCGCCACGGGACCCGCGCCGCAGCTCTAGCTACAGCGCCTCCTGCCGCTGCCCGCGCCCCCGGCCCGCCCCCAGGTGCCCGAAGCCCGGTGGCGCGGCCGAGGCGACGGTGCCGCCGCCGGCGGCTGGGGCTGCCCGGGGTAACCGCGCGCGCCCACTGCGGCGGCGGACGCTGCTGTGAAGGCGTCCGAGCACCGCGGGCCGCGACTCCCGGGGACCCCGGGAGGGCTGTTCCGTAGAGCTTCATTCACAAAAAAGGGCCCACAACCCTCCTCTGGGCCCGCAGACTGAGGCCTTTCATTGGTCAGTGAGGCGTGACGTCACGGAGACGGGGCCTTTCTACAGGCAGGTACTCGGTGACGCCATAAAGAAAAGTCTAAGCGGTTCCTCCAATCAGAGATAAAGTGTGCTCACGACCCTCTGCCAACCCCCTAACTTTTGTTTCTTCTGTGTCCTCCGAGTGCCAACAGGCCAGTTCCCAACTTCTTTTAGTGAGTCACCAAACCTTTACACAGCCCCACCCTATCAACTTAACTCCAGGTCTTTGGCATGTATATTTTTTAAAGTATTTCTTGGTTTTCCTTGTAATTCGCGCCAAGTGAAAGGGACTCTTGCCATGGCTGCTGGCTAGGAAAAGAGTACGGAGTGATCATATTGCCCGCAGCTGTACAGATTTAAAGTAGAGTTGATTTCAGAACTTCAGAGGAACTATTTAAATCAGCTACACTCTATTTATCGACCTATGCCCAGCATTCAAAAAGACCAAGCAAGGACTAAGTAAGAAGTCGATAAAACTACCGTGGAAACACAATATACTGTAATGGTTTGCACCTCATCCTCTTTCATCTCGAAGTCCAGTACTCACGTTAATTCAGTAATTTTATACACCCATTCCTGTGTATAGCAGAGGCATCGACAGGTCCTATTATATTATGAAGTATTGAAGCAACCGGCAAATTTAGTCCTTGAACTTTTAACTTGCAAACTGTAGGGTCACATCTCCTTCTTTTTATACTGGGTTAAAATAATTTGCTGGTCTTTCTGGAACTTAACCAAAACTGTCATTTTTGAGGGCCTTTAAACAAATGCCCATGGTAGCATCTATAAGAGTGAGAAGATTGGAGGGCAGCCTATCGATTGCATGGCCCCAAATTCTACATCTGCAAGCTACTGCTATTTTTCACAAGCATTTTAACCTTTTACCAGAAGTTCTGCAATTACTGCCAGCCTGGGGAAGAGAAAGATGAATTCGAGTCAGTCCCCCACTGGAAGCCTCTCAGAAATGCAAATTTTCATGCAGCATCTGGGGGGGTCGGTATTTGACTTCTATTGTTGTGGACTTTTGCCTTAAGCACCACTAAATGGGAAAGAAAGGGCTGTGTGTTTGTCTCTCTCAGTGTGGAGCTGGAGATCAGCATTTCTGTAAGAACTTAAGGTTAATACTCATGTTCATTCTTCCCATTTCCCATAAGGAAATCAGTCAAGGCCTTAAGGTAAAAATGATCTATGTGTTTGTAGGGTCACAAGCAAGAGACTTGGGAGGCTTTGAAAAGCTGTGGGAATAAATCTAGGTAAGCAGAAGCTGTGTGGTCATACAACTCTGTTTTGACCGGAAGAGAAGGCCTTTCAGACTGGTCTAGGGGCTCAACATTAGAAAGCTTCCCAGACTATCAGGGATTTTATGGGAATAGGTCGTTCTGAATAGATATTACAAGGGAGTGTCCCCCGGCTCCCTAGAATTACAGAACTACAAGTACCCCATGACGTTATGTTTTTTTGAGAGTAATTTATTTAAATGTCTAACGAAAACTAAAGTGCCAAGAAGTTCACTTATATCAGTTCGTTTTCTCTCACTTTCAAATAGTGTTTGGGCTAGAAATTCTAACAAAATGCACATTATTTAAATCAAAGACGAATGTCATAAATACAGATAATTATACCATTTAAATATTTTTATATTTTGCAAATATATAACTTTATGGTTTGTATAATATTAAGTATAGGAATATATTTTGTAATTATGTGGAAGCATCTTCCATTGAAAGGGAAGCCTGTGTGCTAAGTATACACATTAAAGTTTTAAACCCTATTATATTTTGTTTTTAGGTCATGTTTAGATAGTGACAGAAAAGTGCTATTTCTTAGCTGATATTTGTTTGGTGTATGGCAAGTCTCTTGAAAAATTTGACTTCTCCTTTTCAGTAAGTTGCTTTCTAGGCTTGGGAATTTGGCCATAGGAAATGTACTTTAGTTTGCTTGCTTAGTTAGTTTGTTTGGTGTTCATCGTTTGAACTCGATCACGGAATTTTAGAGCTTGAAAGCACCTTAGGCAATATTTGGTCCAAGGCTATCCTTTCAGAGTGAGGACATGGGGACTCAAATAAGTGGCAGTGGCCAAGGTAGGGTGAGAACCTAAACACTCTCTCAAGACCCTGGGTTGTCTTTTCAGGAACTGAGTTTAAAGAATAGATTCATCTAGTTGTGATTCTCAGCATTATGCGCAGCACAGTGAAAAGCAAAAAGGAGGGGTTCTCTGAACAGTGGTCCCCAACCTTTTTGGCACCAGGGACTGGTTTCATGGAGGACAATTTTTCCATGGATGAGGTAGGGGGATGGTTTTGGGATGATTCAAGCTCACTACATTTGTTGTGTGGTCAAACCTTTCTGCTAATGATAATCTGTATTTGTAGGCAATCCCCAGCGGGAGCATCACCACCTCTGCTCCACCTCAGGTCATCAGGCATTAGATTCTCATAAGGAGCAGGCAACCTAGATCCCTCTCATGTGCAGTTTATGGTAGAGTGCGAGCTCCTACAAGAATCTAATGCCACTGTTGATCTGACAGGAGGCAGAGCTCAGCCAGCAATGTAAGCAATGGGGAGCCGCTGTAAATACAGATGAAGCTTCGCTTCCTCACCTGCCGCTCATCTCCTGCTATTCAGCCTGGTTCCTATCAGGCCACGAACCGGTACTGGTTCCCTGGCCTCGGGATTGGAGAACTCAGCTCTAAAATATTCCTATCTTTCCTAGGTAAATTCACCCTGAAAGGAAAGGAATTATGACATTTTCCTACACGTGTATTTCAAATAAGTCATACTCTGAAAATTTGAAATCTTACACTAAAATCAGTAGCAACTGATTGAGAGGTATGTGATGTTCCTTTCAAAATAATAGTAAGTTTCAGAATCCGTGAATTACAGCTTTAATTATGTGGAGATGAATAATTTGTGTAAGGTCAAGTTTTCATAAAATCTAGAGGGTTTATGTGGCAAGCATGTGGGATGGGCACACACTGAAATCTTCGCTAGCATATTTAAGAAGGGTTGGTTTTGTTTAATTGGTAGTCTGGCAATCCTAGCTTTAATCTGAAGTTCCTCATGTTCTTCTGAGTCTGAAAATCTTTTAGAACTGTAAAAAGGGAAGGAATGAATACTTACTGAGCTACCACAACTTGCTGGACATTGTGCTTAGGGGTTTCACACAAATGCCCTGTTAAATGATACTGTCCTCATTTTATAGGTGAGGAATCTCTCATTTGAGAGGTCACAGCAGTTGTGCCAGGTCACTGAATGAGTTTGGTTTGGAAATTTGGGGTACAGAAACACATGTGGCTCCATAGTATGGAGGGGCTGGCACCATTCTTCACAGGTGAGAGCAATCTGAAGGGATCTTACTTTGCAGGCCTATAGGTGGGCTTCTGAAATTGGATAACCTCTACAGTTGTATACATGTCAGAGATTTGGATTAACTTCTTTGGACCTCAGATCAGACCCTAATATTATCGATTTTTAAAAGAACATTTCTGCCGTTAGCTTGTTTTTGTTTATGTATACACCCTGCTAAAGATAAATACAGTCATGCATCATTTAATAACAGGGGTACTTCTAAGAAATTCGTCCTTGCGCAATTTTGTCATTGTGCACATATCATAGAGTGACTTACACAAACCTAGATGGTATAGCCTACTACACACCTAGGCTGTATGGTATAGCCTATTGCTCCAGGGTACAAAACTGTACAGCATGTTACTGCACTGAATGCTGTAGGCAGTTGTAATGCTAAGTATTTGTGTATCTAAATATATCTAAATACAGTAAAGGTACAGTAAAAACACAATATTGTAATCTTATGGGACTACCTTTGTATATGTGGTCTATCATTGACTGAAACTTTGTGGGAAGTATGACTGTAAATAAAATAAATAATAAAATAATGGAATGCCAGGGGGCGGGAGTAGAAAATGGTAAGAATTCTGTTTATTTTAAGTCTTGTGATCAGAGTATGACTGATCATAACACTTAAAGATGCTTTCACCCAAAAGCCAAAGAGGCCTGTGCCTCAAGGGACTGAGTGATACCTAAATCTTTCTCTCACGTTACCTTTTGAAAAATGCTGACATGCATTCTAGGTACTGCCAGGTAGTCAGTAATCCACAGACTAGAATTTAATAATATGGGAGAAATGGAAAACATGAAAAAATCCATGAAGATTGGTACATTCATGCTTTCTTGGGCTGAATATGTCTACCAACACCGAATGCCATCTCCTCACTGGCCAGCCTCCTCGCTATTCGCTTCTTAAATCTAGGAATTATTTTCTGATAGCATCTTTTTACTTCGAAGATTTTTAAGTAAGGCATTTTTTTTTTCTCTTCAGTCTCATCCCAAAAGACAATATAATACATGAACACATATTTTTTTTTTAATTTAAGCAACAAAGATATTTAAAGTTCTTCTTTACCTTCACACCAAAATCCACCTACCCTTATAAATAACCACTGTTGGGTTTTATTATTATTATTATTTTTAGAGACAGGGTCTCGCTCTGTTGCCCAGGCTGGAGTGCAGTGGCCTGATCATAGCGTCCTGCAGCCTTGAACTCCTGAGCTCAAGGGATCCTCCTGCCTTACCCTCCAAGTAGCCTGTGCCACCATGCCTGGCTAATTTTTTATTTTATTTTTCCGTAGAGATAGGGTCTTGCTGTGTTGCCCAGGCTGGTCTGGAAGCACTATAGATTGTGATCATTTTTTT